ACTGACGATGCTGTTGTTGAAGAAACACGGTCTGGGAGGCATTTGAAGGAAGCGTAGAGGACAGAAGATGGGCACATAACCCAGGATGGGGAGGAAGAGGGTTAGGGAAGGCTTTTTGACGAAGACGCTGTTTACACTGTGTGTTCTTATAAATTCATGGCGGTGGGGATAGAGTTGGAGGAAAAGGCATGCTCAGTGGCATGGAGATGGCAGAGAGATTGGAGTGTTCAAGGATATGCAGGAAATTCAAGGAACGAGAATCCCCATAGACACAGACACAGCTAGACATATAGATCTGCAGCTTAGGTTGGGACTGTGGGTCTAGATCTGGGTGGCTTCAACAGACAAAGATCTTTCCTGAGAAATGTCATTCTGGCTCCCCCTCCTGGAGCCAGCCTCTGGCCAAGGTTCCTTGTTGCTCCTGATACTTGGTGCAGACATTGGGACCAAGATAGTGTAGGTACTGAGGTAGAAGGAAAGTGGGAAAGGGTATGAGAAGAGAGTGACCTAATTTTAAGCAGCTTTTAACCATCTTCTCTTCCTCTTGTCTTCCTGGAAATAACATGAAGATCTAAGAAAGTGGTGAGTGCGAACAAAGTTTGAAAAGCAAGAGCAGTTTACTGAAGTCTGGATTTGTATAGCTTTTCCTTTCTCTTTTTCCTGGTACTTCCCCCACCCCTGCCATCCCGCAGGGCTTTCTGTTTCCTGATCACCCTGAACCTGATCTGACATTGGCCACTGGTAATGTTTCAGAATCTCCAAATCCCACTGGACAACGGATGAAGGGCAACCCTTATCTGCTGTGTAGCAGCCAAAGGTCAGAACATTAGTTTCTAGACACAACCGGGCCACAGGGACCTGGAGAAAGATCTGAAAGGAGAATAGCAGAGGCCAGTGGTTCCTAATGTATTCCATTAGGCACTCTTCTGCTTTTTATTTATCCTGCCTGTGTATTAAAAATTATGTCTACTCCACAAAATACATTTAAATAATAATGTTTTCAATTTTATTAGCTATCTAATAAAAGCTTCATATAGAAGAACATGATTGATAGTAAGCTTTTGAAGTAGAGAAATGAGCTGTTGCATTTCATTACTCTACATCAATCCAGTACTTCTGTAAATTCGATTCTCCAGGACAGAACCTCCTAGAATAAGATGGGGTCATTTGCGATCTGTCAGTGAGTGAAGGTACAGTAAATGCCTCTGCAAACAGAGATGATAACTTGGCATTTTAAAGAGCTTCCTACTTTGAAAAGATTTGAAGCACTTGAAAACATACTTTTAGGCTGGACACGGTGTCTCACATCTGTAATCCCAGCACTTTGGGAGGCCAAGGCAGGCAGGTTGCCTGAGATCAGGAGTTCGAGACCAGCTTGGACAGCATGGTAAAACCATGTCTCTACTAAAAATACAAAAATTAGCAGGTGCCTATTATCCCAGCTACTCGGGAAGCTGAGGCAGGAGAATCACTTGAAGTCGGGAGGCGGAGGTTGCAGTGAGCTGAGATCGCTCTATTGCACTCCAGCCTGGGCAACAAAGTGAGACTCCATTCCAAAAAAAAAAAAAGCTTTTAAAAACTGGTTCCATAGCAATGCCCTGAGAGTTTGGGAGGGGGCAGTAGTTAATTTGGGATACGAGGAGGATCAGAGTGATGGAGTAAACTTCCCGGGGACAGGCACACCTTTCTTGTCTCCTTCTAAGTCTCAAGGACGAGGGAGAGAGCAGCACCTTTAGGTTTGTCTGAGATCACAGTGGTGAGGTGCATCCGGGAGTAAAGGTAGAGAAATAGAGGCGCCGCAGTGTGAGCGTGGATGTCGATTGCTTTGTGTGTTGAAGTGAGGAGTCAGCATTTAATTGTTGGCTTAGGATTGTTCTCAAGTAGTGGATTTGGTTTGCAGGTTCTGGGACAGGGTAGGACGTATGTTAGAGAGCTCAAGACCCAGAAATCCAATGTTATTTTGCAAAGGGAATTTTACAAGCAAAGTTTTCTGAGCCTGGAAGACACTTAGGAATCTTTTCCAGTCATCTCATTTTATAGACTGGGAAACCGGCATCTAAGGAGATGAATGGATTTGCCCAAGGTAATGTAGCAAGTGGCCCTCCTGGGACTCTAACTTGTATCTCCTCTCAGTCTGAGGTTATTTCTCCTATGTCTTCTTAAGGCATATTTTACACCTTCTGCCAGACTAGCCATGTCAGGCTCACAGTCACAGCACTCCACACAATGCTGACTGCCGTATCCTGCCTGGGTGCTCTCGTTCTTAGGACGGCCCCTGAGTAATGGGGTGCTCTTAAAGGCAGCATGAGAGGTTCAGCAAGCATTACAGGTCTTCATGCCAGTGAGGGCCCAGGCCACAGGACGGACAGTAATAAGTCAGGACTGGGAGAGGAGAGGTGGATTTTTAATCAGGGAAAAGTTTTCAACACAGAAAGACCATCCCGTTTGGAATGAGGATTGCAAATAGATTGCCTGAGGGGAGAAGTACGTAATCAGAAAGCATTCTTTGTTTATTAACTCCTGCCCAGCAAAAGTGAAAGAAAATTCATGGGAGCATGCAAGAACAAAGGGCACAGCAAAGCTGGACAAACACAGCAATCCAGGAGGGGATTTCCAATTCAACGCTGGTATATAAGCTGGATGCAAAATCCTTTTTCTGTCTCTGGTTTCTGGCCCCTTGACTGCAAAGATGGCTCCCAATGCTTCCTGCCTCACTGTAAGTTGGGATTTGATAAAGGGGATGGGGAAAGGAAAAGCACTTTCAAGAGTTGGGGAGAGATCTTAGAAACGGGATGGACAGTACTCAGGGCTCTGGGTGGCTGGGCAGGCAACCTTAAGGGGAAGAGGCTGGCATTGACATTTGCAGAATGGGAAGAGGGATTGTCTGAAGAGAAGCTGGTTATCCGGCTTCTGTGTTCTTTTTTAAATCAAACATTGGACTAGCTACTCTTAGGGATAAATGGTAGAAAAAAAAGTGGGGGTGAGCTTTGTGTTCCACAAGGCTGGTGAGATTTGAAATTACGGAAACATTTTTTAGGGTTGTTAAACTTAATCTTCTCTTTTCTCTCAAAGGAGAGCTTCACAAAACTCATTTATCTGAAGTTGTTAATGATCTAACACATTACATTATATAAGAAAATATGCGCTATGGAGAGAACCTGGAATTAAGGCAATGCTTAACACAGATCCTCCAGTGAAGAAATGTCTGCAATATCTGGATTGGGAAAATATTTCTGAATGGAGTATGAGGGAGGTCTTCTCAGGCTTTCAAGTGGCCATTAGGAGTGAGTTTTCCAGTCTTTTAGGGTTTTCCAGAAGTAAGACTTAGACATAGTCCCTACCTTCTGTGAGTGAGGCCCTGGTCTAATCAAAGGAGATCATATTCTATATTAGGTAAATATAAAAACACAAGAAATATAAATTAACAAGAAACACTGAACATAGTGTCACTGTAATATGTAAGTTATTATTATAAAGCAGTGGGATATTTGAAAAGAAACTAACAGTTCAGTGCTTATGTGTCCTACCCAGGATTTCCTTCTGAAGTATTGGCAGAGGGTATCCTATTGCTGTATCTTATGAGGCTGTCATATTTTAGAAATTCTCTTTGACAGTTGTTTTTAGAGTCTGGTGTACATCTTTTGAAGCTCTGTATTTACTTTTTGACATTTGAAAAACTTTATCTGGATAGGAGAGGCAGGTAAATAAGGTGGAAAATCTTTAATTACATCTTGAGATGAATAAAAGATGTTTTTTACATCTATTGAAATGCACAGAAAAGTGAAATAAAAAATTGTCAACTAAAAAAAATCACACAATTTATAAATTTAGAAAGGAGACTTTATTTCTTATGAAGGGCTATAGTCTGCAAGGTAGCCATTCTGACAAGCTGGGAAGCTCAGCTTCTGGTCGAAAACCAAAAGCAAGCTTTGTAGGAGGAAAGTGACACAGGAATTTATGCTGAAGGGATTTGCTAAGTATACATATCCAATAGGTTATAGCAGAGGCAATGAATATTCATGAAAGGGGTCCTAATGCATGCACGTTGAATAAGCTTGCATGTTATATAACACCCATGGTCACTCTGAGGTGGAGACTTAACATTTAATTGCATTACAGTTAGGCCTTATACATGAAAAGGTGAAGCAGGGACACAAAGGCATTCAAATGTGCAGCTTCTGTAAACTAGCCAGAACCAGGCCATGGTCAGTGGTCTCTTATCAGGAGAAAATTACTGAAATCAGTCATTTGTCCAATTAAAACTGTAGTTATGGCTTGAGGAACAGGGGGTCAGTGAGCCTGTGGATGAACTGTAATTGTTTTAATATTGTTCCTCTCGAGGACAGTGCTTGTTTAGCTGCTAGAGAAAAAAGAAAAATACTTTGTGGCAGTTAGAACATAGCTTATTCTTTAAGTGTAGGGATGCATGACTTAACTCTTGCCTATTATAGCCTTAGGTCTTGTTTAAAATTTGCTACAAAAATCTTATTGCCACCAATAATCCATTCTTTCAGTCTTATAATCTCTAACGTTGCTAGTCAGTTGTGTCTAAACTGCAAAAAGGAAAAGATATAATGAGGCATGTCTAGCCTCCTGTTTCATCATGACTGAGGTATTTTATTTATTTATCTTTTTGAGACAGAGTCTCACTCTGTTGCCCCAGCTGGAGGGCAGTGGTGCCATCTCCACTTACTGCAACCTCTGCCTTCTGGGTTCAAATGATTCTCATGCCTCAGCCTCCTGAGTAGCTGGGATTACAGGCACCACCACGCCTGGCTAATTTTTGTATTTTTAGTAGAGATGAGGTTTCACCAAGTTGGCCAGGCTGGTCTTGAACTCCCAGCCTCAAGTGATCAGCTTGCCTCAGCTTCCCAAAGTTCTGGGATTACAGGTATAAGCCACTGCCCTTGGCCCAATGACTAAGTTCTTAAAATTTCTCTAGGGTCCCCCTGAGCAAGAGAGGGTCCGTTCAATTGGTTGGGGGCTCAGGATTTTATTTTTCATTCTCAAGATTGAAAAAAAGGTGTGATTATAAAGGAATGGGACAAATTTTCTTATTTGTGTTGCAACTTGGTAATTCCAAAGGAGAAGTTCCAAGAAAGAGAGGGACACTGGCTACTGAACAGGAGCTAGGAGACCAGATAGATAGCGGAAGGGTGGGAGCCATTGTGGTGGGGAGCAGAAATGTAAAGTGAGGCAGGCATCCTAGGTAACTGTCTTGTGGTTTTCACTTCCCAGGTGCATGTTCTTTCTGAGGAATGGGATTTAATGACCTTTGATGCCAACCCAGAGGACAGCGTGAAAAAAATCAGTGAACACGTCCGGTCTAAGACCAAGGTTCCTGTGCAGGACCAGGTTCTTTTGCTGGGCTCCAAGATCCTAAAGCCACGGAGAAGGCTCTCATCTTATGGCATTGACAAGGAGAAGACCATCCACCTTACCCTGAAAGTGGTGAAGCCCAGTGATGAGGAGCTGCCCTTGTATCTTGTGGAGTCAGGTGATGAGGGGCAGAGGCACCTCCTCCAGGTGCGAAGGTCCAGCTCAGTGGCACAAGTGAAAGCAATGATCGAGACCAAGACGGGTGTAACCCCTGAGACCCAGATTGTGAATTGCAATGGAAAGAGACTGGAAGATGGGAAGATGATGGCAGATTATGGAATCAGAAAGGGCAACTTACTCTTCCTGACATCTTATTGTATTGCAGGGTGACCACCCTGAGGATGGGGTGTTGGCAAGGGCCAAAAAGCTATTTCTTTTAATCTCTTAATCAACGTGAGAATGAGATGAGTAGAGTAAGATTTGGATGGGATGGGTAGGATGAAGAATATTGTCCAACTCTGTTTCTTTGATTCTAACACAATTAATTAAGTGGCAGGATTTTAAATAATGTATTACTGATACTAGTAAATAAAATTTTAAGGCAAAATAGAGCATTCAAAACCAGCTTGCAATTTCTTTCTTGATACCTTGTTATTTATGGAAAAACTCCTATCTCCTTTCCTTTTTGACAAGAGAGTAAGTTTTAGGTTGGGATCCATGTTCTACTGATTTCTGAATTTCTGTGTTTGTTAAGCCCAGTGCTTTATTTATATCACTCAATAATGGTTGAACCAAATTGAATTTCTACTTACAGAGCATAGTGAAATGATTTATTTTAAAATGAATTAGTTGCTCTGACATGATCATAATCAAATTACTAAACATTTTAGAAACTAAATTGAGCTCCTTTCCCCCTCTTCTCCTTTAAGGCTATTTGGTATGAAATGAAGTCTGGCACCATGCCCCCTCCCATTCTCTATGTCCCACACCCAACTAAAATTGTTATTATTTATGGGGATGATGGTGGGCAAGGAAAGGTATTTACCACAGGGATCTAGTGATTGTGTGTAACTAGTGGGGGTTCCTAGGGGTAGATGGACACTGGGAGAGAACAAACTTTCTGCAGCTGGGGGACTGTGGACCACCCTCTCTCCTACCTGCCTTAGGGTCTAGCAGGTCTTCTGCATGATGAGGGTGCCAGTCTGGGTGAGGGTGGGTGAGGAGCTGGCTTCTGGATTGACCTCAATATTCTACTCAGGTTCTGCTGATTGAGCATTTTCTTTCTGCTTTTTTTCATGAGTAGATCCCTGTTCCTGTCTTGAGAACTTGAGTCCCTTCCTCCATCTTCCTCCCTCCATTTACTCCTCTTTCTGACTCTGTTGCTGTCTCTCTCTCTCATGTCTCACTATTGATCCCCTGTGAGTTTTTTTTCACAGCCTGAGACATGCCCGCCTTCTTCCACACTCGTCCTAGTTCCTTGTTTCTTTAAAACTTGTTCAAGAACCAACTCCTGCAGGAGGGTTTCCCATCTTAACCCCACTCAGCAAAATTCACCACCACGTATGGGCTTTCCTCATCACACTTATGGGTGAAATGCCCTGGGGAGGGCACTGGTCCCCTGGCAAGGTCTGCACTAGGTTGGACTGGTTTCTGAGAAGAGAGTCCATGGCCTCTTTTTCTGGATGACCCTCTCCTGCAGAGTAGGGACTATGATTTTCTTGTCAACTTGAGACTTCTGATGGCAGAGACCAAGAGGTCTTCCACCGTCTTCCATCAGACAGGGAGGAAGCTAAAGGCAGTCATCACGTCCATCATCTTACCTGCACGTGGAGTCGTGAGGGGTAGGTTTTCCTTCCTTAAACCTGTGTATATAGAGGATTTAGGAATTTTCACTCAAGAACTAAACATTTCCACACGGGAGGAAAACATTTCCCCCATTGGACTCCTTAGGACAAATCTTGCAGATTATCATACAAAAATGAAGAGTCTGAAGTCTAAACTGACTCACTAATGGGTATTTCCATCCTTGGGTTCTGGCTTAATACTTTCTCTCCTCCCCAACCTACTCACTGTACAGCCTGACCTCTCCCCAGACTCCACAGCAGCCTCCTCGCCGCCCCCTTCACTTCCTTATTCCTGAGGGTGTAGATGAGCGGGTTGAGAGCGGGTGTGACCACGGTGTAGAAGAGCGATACGAACTTGCCCCGTGCCTGGTTGTAGCGCTGCGCGGGCTGCAAGTAGGTGTAGATGGCCGAGCCGTAGAACAGGCAGACCGCTGTCAGGTGGGACCCACACGTGCCCACCGCCCTCCTCCGGCCTCCGCTGGACCGCATGCAACAGACAGCTCGGGTCACGGCACCATAGGAGGCCAGGATGACGCCAGACGGCAGCAGCAGGATGACCACACGGGCGGCGAACATCTGGTTCTCGGTGGTGTCTCCGTCGCCTCCGCAGGCCAGCTTGAGCAACGCCGGCAGCTCACAGATGAAGTGGTCCAGCAGGCGGGGCCCGCACAGAGGCCGCTCAGCCAGGAGCGCTGTTTGCGCAACGGAGTTGGTGAGGCCGCCTAGCCAGGAGGCGCTGGCCAGCGCGCGGCATAGGCGCGGGGAGGCGAGCCCAGCGTAGCGCAGCGGACGGCACACTGCGGCCGCGCGGTCCAGCGCCATCACCGCCAGGAGGACGCACTCGGCCGAACCCAGAGCCAGCGATGCGCACAGCTGGGCCGTGCAGTGGCTGCGCGGCAGCCAGAGCGCTGGTCCGCGCAGGTTGGCCAGCAGGGGCGGCACCACGCTGGTGGTGAAGCCCGCGTCCACCAAGGCCAGGTGGCAGAGGAAGTAGTACATGGGCGTGTGCAGGCGCGGGTCGCGCACCGTCAGCAGCACCAGCACCGAGTTGCCGGTCAAGGTCAGGAGGTAGCAGAGGAGGACAAGGGCGAAGAGGACCGGCTGCAGGGAGGGCCAGTCGGAGAAACCCAGCAGGAGGAAGCGCTCCTCTGTGCTGTAGTTGGCCTAAAGGAGGAAAACTCCCAGAATGTTTGGAAGGTCGAAATAAAAACAGGTGACTACCCTCTTATAAGCAAAGGAAAAACCTTAGAGTGTGGGGCTGGGTTGGGCGAGGGAATGGAAGCATATACAAGGTTAGTTTGTGGATTGTAATCCCGTTTACAGATGAGATTACTTAATAATAATCCCCCTAAGAATAAGAGCAACACTCCAAGCCTGGCCTGGCCAACATTCGGTAGGCAGAATGATCACCTCCGTTGTTTCAGGTACTCTGTGTTTATTTATGCAACTGTTCATATAAAATGGAGACCAGGCCAGAAGAATCCTTGAGCTGGCAGAGCCAGTTGGGCCTCCTAAGTAACATTAACCTTGCTTGATTCGCAAGCATGTCTGAAACTTTGTGCTATTTCTTGTAAATGCCTATATTAAAGAAACATAGAACTTAAGCTCAACCAATCAGAAGCAGCCAACAAAAACATAATTATATAACTAGGACTTCCTCATGGGATAGACCAAATAAGGCAACTATATAACTGTAACCAATGAAATATTATCTTTGCTTTTACCTGTTTTCCTAAAAAGCCTCCTCCTCATGTCCTAGAAAGCTTCTCCACAGAGAGATCAGTGGAGCTCCCTAGTCACTTCTGGCTTGGAGCTGCCCAATTCAGGAATCACTGCTCAAATAAACTCTTACATATTTTATTGGGCCTTAGTTTACTTTCTAACACAACCCATTATACTGCTGATTACTGATTTTTAATTTGTTGTGAATAGAGACCACTCCTAACGTCCATGCCCCTCCCACTGAGGGGAGATCAGCACATGCATACTAGCCTTTAAATCAGGAATCAGTTGGGTAGAAAAAAAGAACACTTTCTGGTAGACCAGAAGTCAGGACATCTTGGTTTTACCTAGCATACTTCCTTTAGCCAGTTATGTGATTCAGGGATATCTTCATTTCCCTCTGTCTCAGTTTTCTCATGTGTAAATCAAGGAGTTTGAACTAGATGACATCTAAGTTTCCTGTCCGAACTCCTTTACTTTACTATCAAATATTGATCAAAAAAATAAAAAATATAAAGAGAACCCCAGGGAACAAAAAGAACCTCATTCTCCGAAGGGTCTTGTTGAACCAAGCGTCTTAATGGTACAGAAACATATGGTTTATGTGATGGATGAAAGTTTATGTGATGGATAGAAATCTTTCTGCTGCATGACTCCTGACATAAATTGTTGTGTAGATAACTTATTTTACACATCATATTCACTTCTCTTAATTACAAAAGCACAGTAACCTAATTTTTCATTTTTCAGGGGGAAAAACACTGTTCCCTACCAAAGCATCCTGTTAGCATCCTGTTTGATTGTACGTTTCACTCATTTATCCTCACTGGGCAGAACAAGCATTAATGTTGTGATTAAGAACCAGAGCTTAGCAGCCAGACTGCCTGGGTTTGAGTCCTGGCTCTGCCATTTTCTAGCTGAACAACCTTGGGCATGTTACTTAGCCTCTCTCTGCCTCAGTTTCCTCATATGAAAATAGAAATATGTTAAGTGGGCTGAATATGAAAAGCCATTAGAACAATGCCTGGCACATAGCAGTTGTTAACTATTGTCATCCTTTAATAAATGCCAACTATTGTCATATCTGTTTCCCAAATTAAGAAACAAGTTTTTAAAGGGTTCTTACGCTAGGCAGTGATATAACTGCTATGAACATTTACATCTTTTTTCATTTATTAACTCTAATCTTTACTCACTTGAAAATTAGTCAATAGCCTTATTTTATAGAGTGTGTTAGGAGAGTAATTGAAGTTAAATTACTTGCCCAAGGCCACATCATTTGTAAATGCTTAATAAGTTTTCCACTTATATTTGACTAACTTTGAGGTCCTTCCCTGTTTGATCAACCAGGCTCTACTGTGCTAGAGACTGTGGAGTATAAAAGGACATGCAAAGTCTGACCTATATTTAGAGATAATTTTATAATTTGGGGTCATATCAGAGATGAATAAAGTAGGAGAGGTGACATTCAGGCTTACAGACCTATGGTGGCTAGAGACGTTGAGTTACAAAAGGTCAAATTCTTTAATGCGGTGATTACACAGACACTCAACAGTTTAGCCAGGCAAGCTCTAAACCATTCCTCTTCAAATATGCCACACCATGAAAACAGGCACACAATAATAAAATTGCACAGATAACATTCTTGTTACATGTATGCACAAATTCCCCAAAACATAGGCATGTGTGCACCTATAAACATAAACCCATCATCTCCCTCACACATCTAGAGGACAAATCTGTTGTGAAATATATAATATAATGTGTCATCAAACTTCACTTGGTATTTCAGAATGTACCTTTCGGCACGAGACAATTTGCTGTAGGGCACTGTAATACCCAACTTACCTTCATGACTTATCTTTGGCACTAATGTTTACACCTTGAATTTCCAGATGATAGGTTGGTCTCTTGCTCCTGCTCTGAATTCTCTGGATTTGAAATGGCAGTTGGGAGGATTTAATAAAAGATGCAATTGCATGGCTGTGTTGCTTTCTGGAATGGGTGCCTGAGATCAGAGCCAGGTATCTCAGGAAGAGGATAAGGGGTGGGTGTCATCGTGCTTGTAAATAGAGGAATAAAAAGAACAGGTAAGAAAGAACCTATGTTTGTGAAATTTCAGGATCTAGGCACAGGTGGTGATGTCTGTTCCTGGAGAACCTTGTAATGGGGTACAGACCAGACAAGGACCTGGGCCTTGTGCTGGTGGCAAATCAGCATTAGCTGCTGGTGGTAGCAAAATCCCTCCTGGATCTAAAGGACACAGTTAGAGAGAAGGAGGAAGCATGCTGATGAGTGCTGTCACTAGAGAAGAAACAGGGGAATCAACGTTCCCTGTTATTTAGAAGAGAGGATGGAGCTCTGGGGAATCGATGTCCCACTCCCATCATTAGTACTTTGCATGAAGGTGTCCGGAGAGGAGTCCTCAAGAGTGGGGAAGAGGAAATTCTGGAGGGAAAGTCCCTTTAGGGTAGTGTGTCTCTGGCAGTGTATGAAGGCCAAAGGCAGCACAATTCCCTCTCATTATCGTTTCTACTATTCAACTGGAACTGGTTTAGAATTTCGTTCTCTGATGGAGTGACCTTAAGCTAATTGTTTAACTTCAGTGATTCTCAGTGTCATCGTCTGTAAAACAAGGAAAATAACTGTTTCTGTCAGGAATTTTGTAGATTTGTTGAAGTCATTTTCAGTTTTGAGTGTAGCTTTGACTGTTGTGTCATCAGCTTTGCTCCAAAGCCCGCTTCCTGGCTTGGGCTGTCACCATTCTCGTTCCCTGTGCTCCTCCTTCGTCCTTGAAGATTTTTGTCCCTGATCTCCTCTCACTCTCTCCAGTACTGTGATGATTCTTGGCGAATTCAGTATCCTCATAGATTATCTTTCTATCCTCTCCTCTCAGTTTCTTCCTCAGTGAGAGGTCTGCAAATTCATCATGGCCCCTCATGTCCCTTGTATCTTCACTTCTCTGTCAAGCTCAGACTGTCTGGTCAATCACTATTACTCCTTTGCATACTCTCAATGTTCCTGCACTTTTCACTTGTTAGACTCTTATGGCTAAGTTGCTTTCCTGTTTAAATCCAACTATAATCCTACTCTCTCCCTATATTTGTTCAGCTGACTGTGGCAGAAGAAAAGCCCATAGCCACGCTGAGAGGTTTCATTTTACATTCATGACCATTACTTTAAGAGGAAGGGGCTAATGTCATGGATAATCGTATTTCCCTAGTCCACTCACTTTCCCCTCTCCTATGTAACTCATGCATACTTTCTGGTCTCTCCTTAAATCCCCAATACTCCTCTCTCTCAAATAATATCATCTTTCTCAGATAAAAATTTTACTTCATTTTTACTGAAAAAATGTAAAGCAATCAAAAGAGAAGTTCTTACCAACCCATCTGTTCACCTACTTGCATCTGTGCTCACATATGGGACTCTACATTTTCTTCTGATACTGTTAGGAATATACTATTTTGCATCTGTCTGATGTCAGTACCTCCACTTGCCCACTATATTCCATCCCTTTCCACTTATTCAGGGATATTACTCTAGTCTTTCCCCTTTTTCCTGTAGTATAATTTGCCCTTCCACTGGACCATCCCTACCCATACATAAACATACTTCGATTTCACTCATTAAAAAATAATCTTCTCTTGACTTCTCTTCCCCCTAGCTACCATCCAGGTCCTTGAATTCTCTTTTGGGTTGGCTCCAACAAGGCTTCTGCACTGGAAATCTTTCATCGAAGGTCACAAACCGACCTCCACATTGATATAGTAGTTTTCAATCCTCATGTTACTTGACCAGTTAGAAGCTTTTCAATAGAGTGGACTTAGCTTTCCTTTTTGGAACATACATTTCACTTCTGCTAAGGACTGAATTGTGTCCCCCCTCAAAATTCATACGTTGAAGATCTAATCCTCAATGTGATGGTATTTGAAATGGGCATTTTAGGAGGTAATTATGAGGTTAAATGAGGTCACAAAGGTGAGGGCCTAATAGGATTAGTTTCCTTATAAAATAGGAGGAAAGAGAGTAAGAGCATGGGAAAGGCCTTGTGAGGAGGCAGCAAGTAGGGAGTTGTCTGCAAGCCAGGAGGAGAGCCATCACCAGGAACAAAATCAGTCAACATCTTGATCTTGAACTTCCCAGCCTCCAGCACTGTGAAAAATAAACTTCTGTTGTTCAAGCCACCCAGTTTATGGTATTTTGTTACGGCAGTCTGAGCTGACTGACAGCTTCAAAAGCACCAAAGTCTTCCAGCTGTTCCTTCTGAATCTCCTTTATTGGTTTCTCCTCCTCTCCCTGCTGTGCCCAGGGTTCCGTCTTCTTTCCTTTTTTATATGCACTTCCCTCATCCAGTCTTATGACGTCATACACCATCTACATGCTGATGACTCCTAAATTTATATTTCCAACCTGGATTTTTCTCCTAACCTTCAGATTCCTATGTCCAATTGTCTACCCACCAGCAGCATTTTGGTGTTAACATCTCAGGTTTAACATGCCATGCACTGAACTCCTTACTACCCACCCTCTCCCCCACAATGTGCTTCTTCTGTAGCCTTTCTCATCTCCCATAATGAAAATTCATTCTTCTAGTTTCTCAGAAAAAATCTTATGATACTGACTCTTCTTCATCTCACCCACATATAATCTATCCACAAATTCTATTGGCTCTATCTGCAAAAATATGTGGTAAATCTGACAAGTTGTTATCACTGTTAGGACCACCACTCTGGTCTGTCCTTGTAATCATCATCTCTTGCTTGGATGATTGAAATAATGCTCTGGTTCTTCCCTTAACCTTTAGTATATTCTCAACATGGAAGCCAGAGTAACCCATTTAAAACACAACTCAGATCATACCACTTCTTGTCTCAAAATCTTCCAACAGTTTCTGTCTTACAGAAAGAAAGAAAAAGCCTAGTCACAAGACCTAAAGATCAGTGCTCTCCAACTCAGTACTACTGATGATTTTGACTGGATCATCCTTTTTGGGGGTGCTGTCTTGTGCATTGTAGGATGTTTAGCACCATCCCAGGGCTCTACCCACTAGGTGACAATAGTGCCTCTTCTCCAATTGTGACAATCAAAACCAGCTCCAGACATTGCCAAATGTCCCAGTGGGAGGCATAATCATCCACGGTGAGAACTGCTGCTTGACTTCATCAGATCCCTCTGACCTCATTGCCGTCT